GAGCCAAGCACTTGTATAAGCAAATCCAATTTTTGGCAGCAAATGTCAGGTACGCGGTTCTTCAGCCAGCATGACGATACGCGGTTTTGTCCTTTAAACGACGATATGTGTTATCTCCTTATCAGAGGTAAGGTAATCAAAGCTCACATTGCTGTTTCCGTTACAACGCCGCGCCGGCAAATTATTCATTTCCGTTAAGAAAATTATTCGCTAAATTAATTACATTCTCACAGCTTAAATACTTCCTTTCTAAGACTCTATTATTAGAGAATTAGACCTACATACGTAAGTGTTGCGTTGTCTTGCATCGTAAAGTTTATACAGGTTTAATATGTCAACATATGCATAGTATACTTTAGGGCGGGTCAACTAGTATGGGAGATTTTTTCAACTTTGCACGTATAGCACATAAGGTTTCTACGTGTAATTCTAAGCAAATTTGACAGCGGACCTGTTGGCCAAGAATATATATATGGACGCGATTTTCGGAATCACGACCGAGGTCGATGGTGAGGCCATGAGGATGGCTCACTTGCTAAATGTTTACGCAGATGGGACAAGGGTGTAGACGTGCCAGCTCGAGCTTAGTAAGTCTTATAAGCTTTCGAACAATTGTAGCATTAGCCAAATAAATTGACAAATAGATCTGTAAATTGACAGCCAAGTTGTGATAGAGGCACTGTTATCGTTGGTGATTAAATTTAAGCTGATATGGATGTACACATCTACTGGGTTCCGAGGCCGATAAATAGACTAAGAAGCGATTAAACGGGAGCATTATCAGCACACATTCCTGCAGGCAGGAATGTTTTGAACTAAGGTTTTTAGAATTATGTGCAGAGTATACAAAAGCAAGCAGAAAAGCTTATTTTATCTTTCATTTCTGCGACACATGTTCTTCTACTTGATTAGATCTGCAACCGCCTAAGCGATTCTAGCCGAGTCTAGCAAATGCTAAGTGCAGCCAAGTCCTTGTCCAACCTGGGTTTCGCATGAAAAAACACCATCACCCTTAGCAGTCTGGGTATGAATTTCCTGCAGTTAGGCTTTCTACCGAATATGGAGGCTGTTGCCGAAAATGAATAAAACAAAATGTTAGAGTTCGGCGAGAGTACTACATGCCCTTCATCAATGCTCTTGGTTTCCTGAAATTTCCTTTGTAATATCGTTGTAATATTTTTGATAACGTAATGGGACTCAATGGTTCTTGCGAAACCACGCAGTGGCTAGTAGGCCTAACCTTACTTGCCTTTTGGAAGTTTCACCAAGTGTAGAAGGGCGTTTCTGCATTAAATTCAATTTTTTTTAACAAATTGTAAGGAGTTTAAGAAAGGAGTAGAAATTTTACGAACTCTCAGCGTTTCTTGACTCATCTTCAGCGATTTCCGGAACTATTTTGGAGTCATGTTTACACATTTCTAGGAGTCTTATTGGAATAAGGTCTGACCATTTCTTACTATTTTTTTTTTAATTCCAAAAACCTTCAAAAGAAAGGTAATTTTTCGAAGTTTACAGAAAAACCTTCCCAAAAGAAATCAAAAACAGGACTCTTCATATTCTTGTTTTAGAATGCGGGGTTTCTTATCTCTGGTAAACTTCGTATATGGCTTTTCTCCAGCTATGCTGAGAAATTCGTAAAGCATAATTATTATTTTTTTTTACTTAAAGATATCTCTTTTTGAATTCCGAGAAAAGACTATTTAGCATGCTTGATTCACACAGTTAAATTCGCTTTGACGGTTGCAACGCCAGAGGATGTCATGGCGTTGAAAATACTACATTGGAAGTCTGTAGAGGCCCTAAGTCAGATTATTCCGAAAAATATATCCTTGAGACTTCTTCATATTCAGGTGCATATCTCGTGAAATCGGTTGAGATTTATAAAGCGTCAAAATCCATTTACGTCGTCCCACTGTTGTAGTCCCTAATTTCAATTCAATATGAATGGAAGGTTGGACGCCAAAAATGTCAAGTTTTAATAATGATTTTTAATGTAGTCGCTGCATCTTGTAATGGGCGGCGCACCCGCTGGCCCGGCAGGCACCGGCAAAACCGAAACCACAAAAGATCTGGGGCGAGCACTTGGCATGATGGTTTACGTTTTTAACTGCTCGGAGCAAATGGACTACAAGTCTTGTGGCAACATCTATAAAGGACTAGCGCAAACTGGCGCTTGGGGTTGTTTTGATGAATTCAATCGCATTGCAGTGGAGGTGCTGTCGGTTGTAGCCGTGCAGGTGAAGACTATACAAGACGCAATTAAGGTACAATTAACTAAACATGCACTTGAAAAAAGTACTACAGAACGCCGGGTAGTAAACCTGTGACCTAACTTGTTATAGATGCATCGTGAGCGTTTTACATTTATGGGCGAGTCCATTGCCTTGGTGCCAACGGTGGGTATATTCATCACACTTAATCCCGGCTACGCGGGACGTACTGAATTGCCTGAAAATTTGAAGACGCTCTTTCGCCCTTGCGCCATGGTCGTACCAGATTTTGCGCTCATTTGCGAAATCATGCTAATGGCTGAGGGCTTTCAAGATGCGCGCATACTTGCACGCAAATTTATAACGCTTTACACACTGTGCCGAGAACTGTTGTCCAAGCAGGATCACTACGATTGGGGATTGCGCGCTATCAAGTCTGTCTTGGTGGTGGCGGGCACATTAAAGCGCGACGATCACAGTCGACCGGAAGATCAGGTGAGTAGCATTGAATTTGTTTTTCGTGCAGTTACTGTTATATTATATATTGATTCCTAAGGTGCTCATGCGTGCTTTGCGCGATTTCAACATACCGAAAATTGTTACCGAGGATGTGGCCATATTCATGGGCCTTATTGGTGATCTCTTTCCCACATTGGATGTGCCGCGCAAGCGCATTTTTGAGTTTGAAAAAACTATAAGGCGTGCAGTTAATGAGAACAAGCTGCAACCTGAGGAAGGCTTTCTAATGAAAGTTGTGCAACTGCAAGATCTTTTAGATGTTCGACATTCAGTTTTCATTGTCGGCAACACTGGCACAGGAAAAACTAAAATTTGGCAAACACTTCTTGAAACCTATCGCATACAGAAATTGAAACCGGTCTGTAGTGTAATCAATCCAAAAGCCTTATCGAATGATGAACTATTCGGAGTTGTCAATCCGACAACGCGCGAATGGAAGGATGGTCTCTTCTCATCGATAATGCGCGAACAGACAAATTTACCAGCAGGCTACCCCAAGTGGATTGTGCTTGATGGCGATATTGACCCCATGTGGATCGAGAGTTTGAATACACTGATGGATGACAATAAAATATTAACGCTCGCAAGCAACGAACGGATCACTTTGAAGCGAGAAATGCGATTGCTCTTTGAGGTGGGTCACCTCAAGGCGGCCACACCAGCCACGGTTTCTAGGGCTGGTATTTTGTATATTAACCCACAAGACATGGGCTGGGCTCCGTAAGTTGTGAGACATGAAAGAAAACTAAGT